TGATGTAGATTTACTGGGGTGTGTGTTCTGTTGTGTTTGTATATCATATAGATATGATGTAGATTTACAGGGGTGTGTGATCTGTTGTGTTTGTATATCATATAGATATGATGTAGATTTACAAGTATGTGTTCTGTTGTGTTTGTATATCATATAGATATGATGTAGATTTAGACGGGTGTGTGTGATCAGTTGTGATTTGTATATCATATAGATATGATGTAGATTTACAGGGGTGTGTTCTGTTGTGTTTGTATATCATATAGATATGATGTAGATTTACTGGGGTGTGTGTTCTGTTGTGTTTGTATATCATATAGATATGATGTAGATTTACAAAGGGGTGTGTTCTGTTGTGTTTGTATATCATATAGATATGATGTAGATTTACAGGGGTGTGTGATCTGTTGTGTTTGTATATCATATAGATATGATGTAGATTTACAGGGGTGTGTGATCTGTTGTGTTTGTATATCATATAGATATGATGTAGATTTACAAAGGGGTGTGTTCTGTTGTGTTTGTATATCATATAGATATGATGTAGATTTACAGGGGTGTGTGATCTGTTGTGTTTGTATATCATATAGATATGATGTAGATTTACTGGGGTGTGTGTTCTGTTGTGTTTGTATATCATATAGATATGATGTAGATTTACAGGGGTGTGTGTTCTGTTGTGTTTGTATATCATATAGATATGATGTAGATTTACTGGGGTGTGTTCTGTTGTGTTTGTATATCATATAGATATGATGTAGATTTACAGGGGTCTGTGGTCTGTTGTGTTTGTATATCATATAGATATGATGTAGATTTACTGGGGTGTGTTCTGTTGTGTTTGTATATCATATAGATATGATGTAGATTTACTGGGGTGTGTGTTCTGTTGTGTTTGTATATCATATAGATATGATGTAGATTTACAGGGGTGTGTGATCTGTTGTGTTTGTATATCATATAGATATGATGTAGATTTACAGGGGTGTGTGTTCTGTTGTGTTTGTATATCATATATTTATGATGTAGATTTACAGGGGTGTGTGTTCTGTTGTGTTTGTATATCATATAGATATGATGTAGATTTACAGGGATGTGTGATCTGTTGTTTTTGTATATCATAAAGATATAATGTATATTTACTGGGGTTTGTGGTCTGTTGGGTTTGTATACAATATCAATATCATGTAGATTTACAGGGATGTGTAATCTGTTGTGTTTGTATATCATATAGATATGATGTAGATGTACTGGGGTGTGTGATCAGTTGTGTTTGTTTATCATATAGATATGATGTTATGTACTGGGGTGTGTGATCTGTTGTGTTTGTATATCATATAGATATGATGTAGATTTACAGGGGTGTGTGATCTGTTGTGTTTGTATATCATATAGATATGATGTAGATTTACAGGGGTGTGTGATCTGTTGTGTTTGTATATCATATAGATATGATGTAGATTTACTGGGGTGTGTGATCTGTTGTGTTTGTATATCATATAGATATGATGTAGATGTACTGGGGTGTGTGATCAGTTGTGTTTGTTTATCATATAGATATGATGTAGATGTACTGGGGTGTGTGATCTGTTGTGTTTGTATATCATATAGATATGATGTAGATTTACAGGGGTGTGTGTTCTGTTGTGTTTGTATATCATATAGATATGATGTAGATTTACTGGGGTGTGTGATCTGTTGTGTTTGTATATCATATAGATATGATGTAGATTTACTGGGGTGTGTGTTCTGTTGTGTTTGTATATCATATAGATATGATGTAGATTTACAGGGGTGTGTGTTCTGTTGTGTTTGTATATCATATAGATATGATGTAGATTTACAGGGGTGTGTGGTCTGTTGTGTTTGTATATCATATAGATATGATGTAGATTTACAGGGGTGTGTGATCTGTTGTGTTTGTATATCATATAGATATGATGTAGATTTACAGGGGTGTGTGATCTGTTGTGTTTGTATATCATATAGATATGATGTAGATTTACTGGGGTGTGTGTTCTGTTGTGTTTGTATATCAGATAGATATGATGTAGATTTACAAAGGGGTGTGTTCTGTTGTGTTTGTATATCATATAGATATGATGTAGATTTACAGGGGTGTGTGATCTGTTGTGTTTGTATATCATATAGATATGATGTAGATTTACAGGGGTGTGTGATCTGTTGTGTTTGTATATCATATAGATATGATGTAGATTTACAGGGGTGTGTGATCTGTTGTGTTTGTATATCATATAGATATGATGTAGATTTACTGGGGTGTGTGATCTGTTGTGTTTGTATATCATATAGATATGATGTAGATTTACAGGGGTGTGTGATCTGTTGTGTTTGTATATCATATAGATATGATGTAGATTTACAGGGATGTGTGTTCTGTTGTGTTTGTATATCATATAGATATGATGTAGATTTACCGGGGTGTGTGTTCTGATGTGTTTGTATATCATATAGACATGATGTAGATTTACAAAGAGGTGTGTTCTGTTGTGTTTGTATATCATATAGATATGATGTAGATTTACTGGGGTGTGTGATCTGTTGTGTTTGTATATCATATAGATATGATGTAGATTTACAGGGGTGTGTGTTCTGTTGTGTTTGTATATCATATATTTATGATGTAGGTTTACTGGGGTGTGTGTTCTGTTGTGTTTGTATATCATATAGATATGATGTAGATTTACAGGGGTGTGTGTTCTGTTGTGTTTGTATATCATATAGATATGATGTAGATTTACTGGGGTGTGTGTGTGTATATCTACAGGGGTGTGTGTTCTGTTGTGTTTGTATATCATATAGATATGATGTAGATTTACTGGGGTGTGTGTTCTGTTGTGTTTGTATATCATATAGATATGATGTAGATTTACAGGGGTGTGTGTTCTGTTGTGTTTGTATATCATATAGATATGATGTAGATTTACTGGGGTGTTTGATCTGTTGTGTTTGTATATCATATAGATATGATGTAGATTTATAAGTATGTGTTCTGTTGTGTTTGTATATCATATAGATATGATGTAGATTTGGGGTGTGTGTTCTGTTGTGTTTGTATATCATTTACAGGGGTGTATAGATATGATGTAGATTTACTGGGGTGTGTGTTCTGTTGTGTTTGTATATCATATAGATATGATGTAGATTTACTGGGGTGTGTGTTCTGTTGTGTTTGTATATCATATAGATATGATGTAGATTTACTGGGGTGTGTGTTCTGTTGTGTTTGTATATCATATAGATATGATGTAGATATAGATATGATGTAGGTGGGTGTGTGATCTGTTGTGTTTGTATATCATATAGATATGATGTAGATTTACAGGGGTGTGTGATCTGTTGTGTTTGTATATCATATAGATATGATGTAGATTTACAGGAGTGTGTGATCTGTTGTGTTTGTATATCATATATGTATAATGTAGATTTACTCGTGTGTGTGTGATCTGTTGTGTTTGTATATCATATAGATATGATGTAGATTTACTGGGGTGTGTGATCTGTTGTGTTTGTATATCATATAGATATGATGTAGATTTACTGGGGTGTGTGGTCTGTTGTGTTTGTATATCATATAGATATGATGTAGGGTTACTGGGGTGTGTGTTCTGTTGTGTTTGTATATCATATAGATATGATGTAGATTTACAGGGGTGTGTGATCTGTTGTGTTTGTATATCATATAGATATGATGTAGATTTACAGGGGTGTGTGTTCTGTTGTGTTTTGTATATCATACAGATATAATGTAAATTTACTGGGGTGTGTGATCTGCTGTGTTTGTATATCATATAGATATGATGTAGATTTAGACGGGTGTGTGTTCAGTTATGTTTGTATATCATATAGATATGATGTAGATTTACAAGTATGTGTTCTGTTGTGTTTGTATATCATATAGATATGATGTAGATTTACTGGGGTGTGTGTTCTGTTGTGTTTGTATATCATATAGATATGATGTAGATTTACTGGGGTGTGTGTTCTGTTGTGTTTGTATATCATATAGATATGATGTAGATTGACAGAGAGGTGTGTTCTGTTGTGTTTGTATATCATATAGATATGATGTAGATTTACAGGGGTGTGTGATCTGTTGTGTTTGTATATCATATAGATATGATGTAGATTTACAGGGGTGTGTGATCTGTTGTGTTTGTATATCATATAGATATGATGTAGATTTACAGGGGTGTGTGTTCTGTTGTGTTTGTATATCATATAGATATGATGTAGATTTACAGGGGTGTGTGATCTGTTGTGTTTGTATATCATATAGATATGATGTAGATTTACAGGGGTGTGTGATCTGTTGTGTTTGTATATCATATAGATATGATGTAGATTTACAGGGGTGTGTGATCTGTTGTGTTTGTATATCATATAGATATGATGTAGATTTACAGGGGTGTGTGATCTGTTGTGTTTGTATATCATATAGATATGATGTAGATTTACAGGGGTACGTGTTCTGTTGTGTTTTGTATATCATACAGATATAATGTAAATTTACTGGGGTGTGTGATCTGTTGTGTTTGTATATCATATAGATATGATGTAGATTTACTGGGGTGTGTGGTCTGTTGGGTTTGTTTATCATATAGATATGATGTAGATTTACTGGAGTGTGTGATCTGTTGTGTTTTGTATATCATAAAGATATGAAGTAGATTTACAGGGACCCGTACGTGTTGTTTTGTGTTTTGCATATCATATAGATATGATGTAGATTTACATGGGTCTGTGATCTGTTGTGTTTTTATATAATATATTTATGATGTAGATTTACTGGGGGGTGTGTTCTGTTGTGTTTGTATATCGTATAGATGTGATGTAGATTTACCGGGGTGTGTGATCTGTTGTGTTTGTATATCATATAGATATGATGTAGATTTACTGGGGTAGGTGTTCTGTTGTGTTTTGTATATATTATATAGATGATGTAGACTCAGTATACCTTTTGATCATTTCATACGTACTCTGTAGTAGTCACAAGTGTAGACGTCACGCGCCATTCCAAAGTCCGAAATCTTGACCACGAGTCCGTCACCGACTAGACAGTTCCGAGTCGCTAAGTCACGATGTACGAAGTGTTGTGACGTAAGATAGGACATACCATTCGCTATCTGTATCGCGATGTCGATCAGATCAGTCTGAAACAAAATGTAATTACATCATTGACGGTTAGGGTAAATATGTCCTACCTACACCAATGGTCATAAAGACGTTGTCAAAAAATGGTTGGACAACTGGAGGACGTTTTAAAGTGCCAGTAACATGGTATCCCACCTCAAATTATACTTTATATGAGATTACGGTCTTTATTAAACCTTTTCAGTATGTAGGTACAAACAAGGATTTTTTTATAATCTTTGAATGTGAAGGTTAAGAACCCATAGCCTTCCTCACCATAAGACGAAAAATTATGAAGTGTCGACACGCAAACTGTAAATAAAACGTTTGTTTTGACTTTATATCATTTGACGTCTTACTGTCTTCGTAGGAAGTTCAAAGCCTCCTAAATTAATGTTTTTCACTGGGGTATACTATCGATACAAATTAGTAAGACGCCTAACTAGGATAGATTATTACCACAATGGACACATCAGGCATTGAAAAAAGAAGTCCTTAGAAAAGAGAAAATACGAATATGAATACAAATTAAGATTATCTTTCGCATTTATGTGATGGGGAATGATTGATAGCTAACTAAAAGTCGATAGAAAAAAAAAAAAAAAAAAAACAATAAAAAGAAGTTATTGACAAAATTATTCAAGATTTACAAAACGACACAAGTGAATAGCATTAATTTACACACAGAGTAAAAGAAAATTATTTTCCAGGAAGCGACCTTATGCGAAGGAGTCGACCATGTGCATGCCCATACGACCTCATGTTTTTGAGATGACACGGGACTTACACACACGCTCATCTCCACTCTGTTTTCACAGTTACACGATCTAAATTTCATGAACGTCTGAATCCGTCACACACTCCTTGCTTTGAAGCAGAACAGATCATTACGCATGCATGACGACCTGCTCGATGTGGAAAGCTATCGACATCAGAAGTTGATGACTTGGGCCGATGAATATCGTGTTATGGTAGGAATAATCTCACATATCTTAATGATTGCGCTTTACTAAAAGAGCAATGACACATACATACCTTTTGCAGTATTACGTCGTCCGTGTTTTTGCGCATGACAGGATCATTATGACGAAGAAGTTCTGCCAAGTCGCCATGCAACATATACTCAAAGATCATATATGGTGTACCTTCCAAACCTTCAACGAAAGATAGAAACGCTTTAGAAATTACTCAAAGTTTCCAGTTTTAAACGTGTAAGTAATAGCGATAATATCTAGATAATTTGAATAAGAACAATGAAATCCTTTTTGTGCGGAGCACGTGCAATGAAAACAAGAATGAATAAAAATTATCCAACTATATCTTCGTTCCTGCAATTTAAAAATTATGTACACATTGTAACATTTAGAGTGACATATTCCAGAGTGTGTTTCTGAACCAACAATGAAGAAAGTCTAATAATTTTAAAATGCTTTTTGGTCGATTTGTGTACCACTTTTAAAGAACTTCAAGAAACACCATTTGAAATTAATTTTTCACGGAAGACCTGCCAATAATCCGTTTTTATCTATTAGAAGGATTCATTTCCTGATTTCTTGTATTTGTGATTTAATTGTATTTTCATGTTGGCGTCTTCAGCTACAAAAAAAAAAAAAAATCCTGTGAAATTTATGAAGCAAACTTTGACAGAAAAAGAGATTAAGAATGTTGTAAACACAACCATAATGCTGAAAGATATACAAGAAGTGGTAACTAGTATGTCGTTATAGAATCCGATATGTCTAGGTCAAGGGGGAAATCCCTCTAGACCTAGACTTTCACTAAAGACAAACGTGTATCAATGTCAATGGAGACATTAGAAAAAGCCAAGAAATGTTCAAAGACGAGAAAAGACCATTTCCAAAATTTGGTAGCATCTAACGATCATGCAATGGGGACAGTAGGCACCGTACTGTCGCTTTTCTGCTGGGCATTTTATGGTTAGGGTAGTCGAGATGAATCATTCAATGTGTGCAAAAAAAAATTTGTTTTCGAACATACGATTGTAATATATAGTAAATATGTCCAAGCTTTATAGCACTGTGTGCGAATAACATGTGTAATATGTGGTAACGCTAGATATTTTCTATGAGTTAATCATATTAGATTTGGATATAAAAACTTGTATCGAAAACCCTCTTACGATATTTCGATTATTCCTATTTCACTCCGTTCGGGAAACTGATAAATATATCCCTTTAAAACTAACATTTTGAGGAAACTGGCACGAGACATCAGCATTTATAAATGTCTAGAAACGTGATGATCAATAAGTTTACAAAACGATTTCTTACTTTTTTTGCAAAATTGGCAAATACAAGCTGATGCTCCCATTCCACCCCCCCCCCTTCCCCCCAAAGAATTAAAAAAAAATCATATATGTAAATATTTTTTGTTCATCCCAATTTAACAATACGTTACTGATTTTCCAGCTGCATACATTAAACAATTTGCCCGGATTCTAAAAAAAAAAAAACGAATTAGGTGTTCCTACGTACTAAACATTTGCCGCTTGCCGTTATCGTGACGTCATCATTTTGTGTTCTTGCATAAACACGGCGGCTATATATCATCATCATAAACACGGCGGCTATATATCATCATCATAAACACGGCGGCTATATATCATCATCATAAACACGGCGGCTATATATCATCATCATAAACACGGCGGCTATATATCATCATCATAAACACGGCGGCTATATATCATCATCATAAACACGGCGGCTATATATCATCATCATAAACACGGCGGCTATATATCATCATCATAAACACGGCGGCTATATATCATCATCATAAACACGGCGGCTATATATCATCATCATAAACACGGCGGCTATATATCATCATCATAAACACGGCGGCTATATATCATCATCATAAACACGGCGGCTATATATCATCATCATAAACACGGCGGCTATATATCATCATCATAAACACGGCGGCTATATATCATCATCATAAACACGGCGGCTATATATCATCATCATAAACACGGCGGCTATATATCATCATCATAAACACGGCGGCTATATATCATCATCATAAACACCCATCACACCAATTTTCGTTATTACATATGTGCTTGATTGACTCGAGGTTCCAACAGTTTTCATGATAACGTAATTAGGTCATGGCGTCAAATAAATCATATCACATAAGAAAGATATGAAGGACGACAATATCGCCAGTTGTTTCTTTTTACATTATAGCAGTCTTATTCAATTCAGTTTTCACGTACAACTTAAAAAAAATGAAGTGTGTGGGAATCAGAATTTGATATTTGTTGGCATTTTATGCGAGTCATATAATTTTCATTAAAGCCCTAAAGGCTCCTAGAAATTAAAACTGTACTATGTTTCATAAAGTTCATATGAAATCAAAATATTAGCTCATCTCGTTTCCTCTCAAATCTGAAATGAATAACACAATCAATTCTATGCACAGTTTTTTTGTTTACACAAGTCAATGCTGGTGCGAACATTTTATAGCTTTGGCGATAAAAATGTCCACGGTTACTTTCCTCTCCGACTGTACAAACTCATATACGGATTTTTACGCCATAACTAGTTGATAATGATCATGACGTCATCAGAGTTGTAAAGCCGCAACAAAATATTAATCATTTATTGGGGACTACACCCCTGTGAATTAGCAAGGTTTCATATCGTAATAGACTTGAAAATGGAACGATATTTTTAGATGTTAGTTACATAAGCATGCTCAAGGACGCTTTAAGGCAGAAACAACATATCTAAACATCTAAGATAAATTAGAACATCGAGTGTATTATGATTCAGCCTTACCTAACAGTTAAGTTCTTCGGAAAATTTGTGTCACATGAATTAAAAGGCTATTAAATGTTTTAAAGTATTGCTAATGGATGATAATCTGTTAATTTCAATGAATACATCCGTGAATGATTTATTTCTTGGATGTAAAAGGCACTTTTCAAATCGACGGTTAATATTTGAAGGCAAAATTGACATGCTTTTACATCGCTATCAACTGGCACGCAATAAACAAATTCAATGTTGCCGCGAAACACATGCTCGACATAATGAAGACGATCGATACCATTTGGGATAAAGTCTCACGCAAAATTGTCGTTAGCTTTGCGCTGACGTCTCATAAATAATACTTAATTACAAGCACAACAGCATGCAACTGATTGCAGATATCAGTTTAAAATGTATGTAAAACGAGACTGGTCAAATACCTCTATAAATTTCGTCAATTTTCTTATCAACTACTTTCGGCATTGTTAATCAATTGGTAAGTTATGACCACACTTTATTACATAGGAACTTTGTCATTGGAAAAGTATTGTTAAAAGATTGCAGCGGTGATTCTTTTTCGAAAAATAATTGGGCATGTTTCCGCTAATCCTGAGCAACTATACGTTTACGTAATAGATTTTACCGTTAATGGACGAAACCGGCTTCCAACGTTCGAATCAAAATGATAACACATAAACAGGCATGGGCGCCTCAGATGACGAGATCACTCAAAGACAAAGAAGAGGTACATTTAACTCCCGCCGGAAATCACATAATTTGCAAACTGGTAGGATCCCATCAAAAATAACATTAGGCGTACAAACTAGAGCTCAATCATTAACAAGCCAACAATGAACACTGTATACTCTGTCTTTGACATCCGTCCGGTTGTCTCTTATCATACCATCACAACATGATACGTGACAGACAAACGTTAAGTGTTTTACATACAAACCTTTCGTGACGACTCCTAACAATTTTAGAATGTTATCGTGGTCAAAGGCACTCATGATTTCCACCTCCCTTTCAAAGTCGTCTTTTACTTCATTAGACACCCCATCCTTCAGAACCTTCACGGCCACCTTTCCTATCTCGGAACCATCCTCAGCTGAATATATACCTGGAGATAGTCAGGCATTAATCTGTTTTATTTCTTGTCAAGAAAACGATTGGCTGATCAAATCCGTAACAATAGTTAAATATTTCTTATCTGAAGCCTGTAAACATGTTTCAGTTAGTATATGTTCATATTTATGCTAAAAATAGTAACAATAAGAAATGACATAACATTATGCTTATCGATAAATGCAGATTATCAATGACAATGACAAAGCGAACTTCTACAATAACTGTTCTCAATACTCACTATGTCATATCTGAAATCCTAATATAAGTTATTTTTGTTTGTTTTTTTTTCACTAAACAAACATTATCATTTTAGAACTTTGACTAATAAATCGAAACAGTGATCAGTTTGTTCGACTCAATGTAAAAACAGATAAATCTGTGTTTAGTTTTCCTTTTTATAAACATTTACATTTTGCATTTATCCTGCAGATTCCTAGTTTAAATTACGGATATGGATTACCTTTGTATACTTGGCCGAATGCCCCCTCTCCAACCACATCGACAATTTTCATCTGTTCGGAGGGAATGTCTTTAATGTTGAATTTTCTACCCTTGACACCATCATGTGGAGATAGAAAGTAAGTCGGGTTTTTATTTACAAAGTTCATTCTATCTAGCAACTGTTCATCTTCTGTTGTTTTTACAGCCGACTCCTTCCTACGTTTTCTTTTGCATAATTTGATCCTTCGAGCGACAAATAAAAATAAGGCCAATAGCACGAACAAAACGGATGCGAGTGGGATGAAAATCTGTATGGCTGTTAGCTGGTCCGACATACTGTCGCTTTGTTTGTACAATGGCTCTGTCTGAAATAGGAAAACACGTGAACATATTGAAAACGATTGAAGTTGTATGACATTGTCTTATCAATACCAAAATACAAGAAATTTGTCATATAGAAACCTATACTACGAAAGATAACTTATAAAGCAATTAGCATTGCAAAATAAAGCAAAAGATATTGAGGAGAACGAGTACTATCTGAATGATCTTTGCTAATTCTTTGATTTCAGCAAAGTCGATTTCAATCATTAAATCCTTAAAACATATATGTGAAAATAACTACAGTTTATACCAATACACAGACTTTGACGTTAGGGATGTTTGTCTGTAAAAAATGCTTTATGGGACACTTTTCCGATATTTTACGTATATTGTTTGACGCCGGCGTTGACGGCAATGATTCGTTTGATAGCGTCAACGACTTCAACGTTTTTTCGTTTCAAATGGAACAGAACACTGGAAATCTTTGGGAAATTTCAACCAAAGTTTACATGTATCATAACAATACCTTAATTATGTGAAATGCATAACCTTAGATCCGATGGACCTCCTTATCTGTAATATTTCCCCAATGTATTATTCTATTACTCTCCAACAAAAGAGTTGATTCATTTTTAAAAGTTGTGTTGGAAATAACCACAAAATGCAAATAGATAATTTAAAAATAATAATAATAAAAATCAACACATAAACAGATAAGAACAAATCGTAGCCATGATTGACATTGCAGTGATACTAGATGCTTCACGTTCAAATAGGTTTCTGCTTACCTCATTGCGGACATGTTTGGTGTTGGGGATAGTCTCATTGTCCGCGGGACCAAACAGTCCAACTAGTGGTTGAACCGGAAATACGTCATTCCTCTTGTCTGGAGGGGGTTTATCTGAAATAAGGAGACATCAATCAGCATTTGAAAGTTTTTCGACTTCACAGCTACAAGCAAAAATCGACACGATGTTCATTAATATAGATTTAACTTCTTTAACCTTCATGCACAGTCCAAGTTAGTTTAAGTTTATGTTGGCTGAGAACGGTACACTTATTCAAACCAAGAATATAAATCATATTCATTTAGACAATGTTTATATTTTTTATATATTTGCTCGTATGAAAAAAGTTTAAAACATCCTTGATAATATAATCTCCTTATTTGGACGATAAGGGTTACCATACTTCGTCGTCAATTTTAGTATATGGACATTAAGTTTCAAAAGTTACTGTGATGTGTAATTGTTTAAAATTTATCTCCAAATAAAGATAGGTCGCAATTTTTAAGGGGTCAAAATTGTCGCAATTTTCTTTTGAAACGATTTAGTTTTATCTAAATGAATTAGAATTTCATGGACTATATTTTCGCTATCACGTTTATGTACCGCGAAATAGCAAAACCATCATCCCCGAGCAAATACTGGGTGTTACAGTAGTTCAGTATATTATTGTATAAGTTATTTTCAGATCATCGTATACAGATGATTAAGTTCAAATTGCTAACTACCATGATCTGTAACTCAATATTCTGAAATAGACAAAATAAGTGCCAAAAATACTTTAATTAACCATAATCTGTAATCACATTAACTCGAATCTATCACTTACAAGCCACTTATCAGTGAGGCTTATGACATCAATAAAGATTCTCACCTGATATACACTCCCCATACTCGTTGGTAGGTTGAAGTGTATAGATACAAAAGCACACCTTGGATTGGAAACCGTCATTATCTTGACATACGGTATCCGGTTCATAGCAGTCGCCGTTATCCGTACAGGTCTTGTGTGATTCTACAACAAAGAAGTAGATCAGATTCTGATCATCATCAATAGTCAGGCGCATCAACATTGCGTTGGCAGTACTGATCTTTATTTTAGGTTTTATACTATATTATACTTTTGTTTGTGAAAAGGTACCCAAATCGTGATCAACTCATTTAATATCTCAATAACTTAAGAATATTTTCTAATTAAGTATTTTATTTCACTAATTCAATTTCATAAAAAAAAACCAATATATTGATTTATTGCAACACCTTTTAACACAATTAGCAAAAATGTATATGGACATTCTAGATTTTCTCTGCACAACATACAATTGTACTTATTATACCAACACCGCTGAAAAGGTAACTAAGGCCAGCATAGTTCTAGATAAAAAGGCCCATTCAGAAAACAACATTTAAAAACGAATGTTTTAAAAGACACTTGTAGTCATATTTAATATTTTCTTGTGTGACAGACTGATATCTTTCATACTCTGGATTGTATTTATATTTTCTGCCTCAGACGGAAGTTTTGATCTTGTTAAATTACCATTTAGGCATTTAATCAATCCAGCCAAGGAAAACGTGTTTTAATGTTAATGTTTTATTGCATGTTTCACACTCATGGCTAGTCTTTGGTCTATAATGTGGACAAGACAACTGAATAAAGTCCAACTCCCTACAGAAATGTTTTTCGAAGATTGCATGTCCAAAAACAATTGAAAGGTAACATAATTTACAATACTTATTTAATAACAAGATTCCCAGAGTGATATACACGCAAAACAATGACGACTTTTTTGGTTCTATCCCCCTTGGATCCTTCTCATAATTAAATATAAGATTGACAGCATGTCAATTTTATTATACAAATCGTATAATAGAAGCACACATTTAAACGTAGAGTAATGATAACAGATTCACATCAATATCTTAACGACTTTTGCCTCTATTTCTCTGCTCTTTCTTTATATGCTCTTTCTTTCTCTTATCTGCATTTCTCTGCTCTTTTTTCCTCTAGTGTTTATTTCTATAATCTTTATTTCTCTGCTTTTTACTATTTATTTCCATCACTTCTCCCGATATCGAAACCGTTAGGTTATATCTTATATCCACACAATTGTTGACGCTTACTAGGAAAAAGATTAAACATTGTCACAATTCCGTTTATGTAAAGGCAAATGTCAACGCAAGTTCTAAAGCGTTTTTATGACTAAGACCATTAATATTAAAGCCACTCAACGCGCAGTTTGATGCTTCAAATACCCAGCACTTGAGGCACAACTTTCGAATCAGTTTCCTCATATCTGGTTAATCTTTTGTTACATTGTTTTGTACTGTTAGCAACCAAAAGCAGGACATCTAGAAAGGATTCGAATTTACACCCACTTCATTTTTGGTTTGGTGTGATGCTTTGCGTTACTTTGATGTTTTATGTCCCATTCCCGAATTTGATTGATTAAATCATGACTGATTCCTAACGGCGAGGAACACAATAAAAGTCAAACACAATAAACTCCCTCCGGAACCAATTCACATTAGTTAATTTAAGACCGAATCATCTACAGATCTAAAACCAATTGTTTAATTTGTCATCATTTGACTGTAACTAATTGGATTCCTAACGTTGTTAGCCAACACTGACTGAAGCATCTGACTTGTTTGTCGATGTTCCGGGATATATACAGTAACAAGTCCTAAAATGGCACTGCTATGCAATCATTAGTCCTTTCTCTGTTCCTGGAGATACCATATTCATAGTTCTATGCAATATACTATTCTTGCATTTTGAACTTAAGTTCATTCATTTTATTTCATTTAAAATAGAATATTCGATTACATTCAATACAATATGCGTGTATTTTCTCTTACAGATAATACCGCCTACAGCTTTGCTCCTTTTCAAAAGAGATATGATAATGACATTCATGAGCCTGAACTTCTGTCCCGATTTCAGCTGTTCAATAATGAAGCAGTTGATAGTATGAATATAAACTCTTACATACAAATTTCTACCTAGCACACTGAAATCGTTCTATGGCCGTTGCCTATCATGGTTATTCTAGTGGGTATCGCTAATAGATGATGTTTTACGTTACTTGATAATGTCAGTCTATTTGCACAAGGAATATTCAGTCCACGTTTTTTGTAAATAAAACAATGATATAGTGGCATTGATCTTGAAAATAAGACAGGATATTCAAAAAAAGTACGCGTCGTCTGCTTCATCGATGTCACCTGCCATTCAAATTTTGTCAATTTAAGTAAGTAATGCCACGTTCTCATATGAGGACAAGTTATACAACAACAGAACCAACAGGTAAATATAACAAGCATCAAATATATCCAGCTTCATCTCCCACAAAGAAAAATAATATTTCTAAATGAGATCGCTATGACTACCGTGCATACTTTGTTCCGAATGTGATTTATGTCATGCAATGTCAATCAACATGAAAACGGAATTACAGGCTACTGAAATGTATTGAACAAAATCCGTCTTATGTACCATAACGAAGACTAAGTACATTTGGACAGTTTCTTTAAAAAAAACTTACGGTTTCGGCTACCTTCGTCGAATCCCATTTTTGTCCTAGTATAAATTTTTACTCCTAGCTCCTGAGATGTTTTGTTTCATAAAGGATGTCTATTCACAGAGCTATGACAGGTAAGCAGTATGACTCTTTAAAAACTTGGATGAACTGGCTACATATGAGGATGTGTATTACACCTTTTTATTGGCGTACTTTGTGGGAGATGGGCGTCGTGTGATTTCCCACATTGTATTTATGGATGGCTAGTACAGAGGCGTTTCGTTAATGAACAGGTGTAAATATTATACCTATATTTACCAACTAGTTTTTCACAGGAGTGAACTAAGATTGTTTTATATGGTTGGGTAATAGTTAGTTGTGCGACATCACGTGTTCAATTCTTTTTATGAACACGACATTACTTAATTGGAGAAATAAAAAATACCAGTAGGATGTAGAGGAAGCCGCTTCTCCTCCTTAAAAATCACAAAAGACACAAGAAGAACTCAAGTTTACTCTATATTCTGGTCAAATCTATTTTTCAGTAAGTTTAGTCACCCATAGTTATATTTCCTATACTGGGCATCAATCCTGCTTTAAACTTTTGCTCAATTTCTAACATTTGAAATATTTTGTATATTCAGATTTTTTACAACTGACCGAATTATGGCGTTCAATCTCTTAGAGCGGTTGCCTTTTTAATATCTATTTCGGAATTATAAATAGTCCCCTACCGGTGAAAGCGGGAGGAAGTCAGTACAGTGTTCCCCTCCGTCTGTCCTTACATCTTTAAAATTCTGTCTGCACACTAATGATTTCATTCCTTGAGGGATAACTATCAAACTCCTAACATTTATTAAGCATTCAAATATCTCGGACATATTGGATTTGTAGGGTTGTTGGGTCAAAGTCACTATTTTCAGAAAATGAATGTAAGCGCTCTATTAGCATATCTTGATGGATTCATATAAGAACTGAAACATTAATTAAGCATTAAATTTTCTTGAACGAGTTTCAAGGTTGTTTGGCCAAGGCCAAGGTTACTATAATTGAAAATAGCGCTAGCTTGTAGAGGTTGGTAAGAGACATACTACTTCAGCAAAACATATAATGCTTGTTTAGTTATTTTTGTTTTACTTGTACTAAAATATATATTTCCCTTATTGAATAAGTACAATTGTTAATACAAACCCCATTTGTAAGTGTCTTGATAGCTATTATGTGTATCGGCATTTCTTTTGTCAACATGTCTAGATCCGCCTATCAAATGTATATTACTAACGGCCATCCGCCTGAACTCAACGCAAATCAATATAAAAGGGCATCCGTTCATTTCACCTCCCTTCCTCTCCTTTGTTCGTGACAGGGGCAGATCTTCGTTGGCCTTAACGAGCACATGGCATATTTTTCTCCAACAAAATATCCGCCCTTAGTTATGGAAGTTAAAAACAAAGAACGAGTCATGCCAGTAGGTATTTTTTTACAGAATCCTTATGATGAAATTAAGTCTAGACTACCTGATTTATACACTTCTTATATATACAGACCTGAATGAAGTCTTAGAAAACCAGGAGAAAACATACATGTATTCTTTCTTGCATAGCCCAAATACATATGTAACAATGGGATAACAGGTTTCAGCAGTCTAATAAGTACATGTCTGAATACATATCTAAACACCCGTATGACAAATCCGCCCTACGTTCTATTATTAATTAGTTTAGGATATATCTAAAAACTGATCTACCCACAGTTGCCAAGTAGGTTATTTGGTAGATCGGTTTTCGGGATTCTTTCTGAAAAATGATGGATAGTACATAATGCTTTTTAGACTGTATGTAGTCTCTGATTTCTCATACCAACAGCTGTTCTTGTAGATGGAATTCAAACAGGTCGATATTGTTACAATCTGCCTAACCCTGATATGAAAGATCCAACGGAACACTTCTGTGGTTTTACACTTTTAATTTTGATTTCCATCATTCGAACTTTGTGGATTTCAACAGTTAAATATCGCTAAAGAAAACTGTAAATAATTTCATGATCCTGGCTTCTCTTTCATATATAACTTTCTTTCGTACTGATGTTACCATAGAGAACTTCACATGTCAATAGAATAAACTAGAAAGGCAATCCAGCTTAAATAACAGCAATACAATTATGGGATGCACCGTTGATTAATAATTATTACAATATAATCCATATTTTCGTGTTAGCTTCTGTATCGATCGTTTCTTTTTTCTGAACGCTGAAAGTTAAAGGACGCTGATCAAGTTGCAATATCATATTGATTCTCTAGATTTTCATTTGTAACACTATGAATTTTCCTAATTCAGAATGAAGCTAATATGTAGTTGTCAGAATTAATAACAGCCAGGGGGAAACATTTTCATAGACGACAATGTTATCAAAAAGACAAATGCTTTGTGAATTACTTCACGTGCGACAGCGATTTCTCTAATTTAGAAAATGTGATTTCCAACATTGTATTCGACACCTTGAACGGCAGGCAGAGAAATATTAGAAGTCAATGCAATGTTGTACACTAG